ATTTATTTGATTATTGTTTTAGAGGTTCTTTGTGTATACATATATATATTCTATATACTAGTTCTTTATTAGAAGTGGGAACTGCAAAAGTTCTTTACCAGTCTGTGGCTTATCTTCCATTATTGTAAGGCTTCCAAAAACATAATTTCTTTTTTTATTTTTGCTTTCTGGGTCACACCCGGTGATGCAGAGGGTTACTCCTGGCTCATGCACTCAGGAATTACTCCAGGCAGTGCTAGGAGGACCAAATGGGATGCTGGGAATCGAACCTGGGACTGCTGCATGCAAGGCAAGCATCCTACCTGCTGTGCTATTGCTCCAGCCCTAAAACATAATTTCTTAATTCTGATGGTTTATCAATGTACTCTTTAATAGATCTTGCTCTTTGTGTCACACGCAAGAAATTTATACCTTAATCTAGGGATACATAAATTTTATTTTTTTTTAACAAGTTTCATCTTGAGGCTTAAATTTAGACCTTTGGTCGATCTAAATTTTGGTAAAAAGCCATTAGTTTCCTTTGGGTGCTTTAACAAATTACCACAAACTTGGTGACATTAAACAAATCTGTACTACTTGTATGTTCTGTATAACATAGATCTAAGGTGCTATCACTCTTTGCATACCCAACTAGACAATCTGTTCCTTTGCTTTTCTAGCTTCTTCTAGTGTCAGCCAGCACACTTGGTAGTTTCTGAGTTTTTGAAGAAAGACGTAAGTCCTTTCCCCGCCTCCAGCTTGATGATGTTTTTTCTACATTTATAATCTCCCGATTGACTTATAGACACTGTAACAGGGTTAAAGTGTAACTAGACCAATCCATCCCACAGTGAGTGATACCACCAACCCTCCTTCATTGGAACTACCAAGAGATAGCCAGTGCAATGGTATGAAGAGGAGGGAGTCTTTACTCACTTTAGATAGACTTTCAGGAATGTTCTGAGTAACATTTTTTTATACTGAATGGGGGCAACTGGTCAAACAAATTTGGAAATCTCAGATACACTGCAGATTCTCTATGTGAAGTCCATTTATTGTTGTTCTTAACTATGTGGTAACTTACAGATTCCCAGGGATTAGGACCTTTGGGCAACCATGAAGGTAAAAACTAATTAATTCAATTGTTCCCGTAGCATTTGTAGAAAATAGTCTCCTTTCTCCACTTAATTTCCTTATCTTTTTTGAAACTTTAAACTCAGTTATGACTAAATGTCTTTTATCTGTACCATTCTGTTCTATGGGTCTATTTCTGTTCCATGGATCTATTTGTCTGTCTTGATGCCAAAAACATATTGCTTTCAGTACTGTAGCTTTGTAATGAGCATTTAGCCTACTTTGCAAGAAATAGCTTTTCAATTGGTATTGCAGGTTCTTTTATTGCTGTATTTTTGCCCCCCCACCCCATCCTGCTAGTACTGACTGTACTGAGTCTATAAATTTGAAACAACATTTTACAGAAACCCTTCTGAGTCATCAATACAATGCTATTACAAATGCCTCTTGTGTCTGCAGTATCAGTTATTCTTCTAGTTGACTTTCTATTAAAAATTCTGTTATATTTTATATTCATTTTTAATCCTTTATTACCAGATTTTGCCTTTTCCATCAAAAATTTTATCCAATAAAATTTTGTATTTTGATTTGTTTCCTGCAACTTGTATTAAAAAACACACTTAAAGTTCTAGTACCTTTAAATTAAATTCCAAAGATTTTCTACATAAATGGACAAACCTTGAGTAAAGACAGTTTTCTTTCATTCCCAATGTGGATGCCTCTTACTTTTTCTAGAACAATATAGATTAGAAATGGTGACTGCAGACATCCTTGCCCTGTCCCTGATCATATAAAGGAAATCACCTCATCATACATTGTATTTTACTGTAGATATCCTTTTTTTGGGGAAGGTGGGGGAAGGAATATGCCTATGAAGTCTACAGTGGATGAAGATGCTAGACGAAGTGTTCGTCTACTGTGGAGACACTTCAGGAAGAACCTAAGCAAAAGGTAGGCAAACTAGTCAGTCGCTAATGGGAAGGGCCAAGAAAAGGATGAGACCGATGAAGAAAGACGACCTTAAAATGGTTCAACAATGCTCTGAATGGTGTCTAATGATCACAACAATGTACATGAAAGGGCAATTATACATAATTATATAATTATACCCCTGTATTTGAGAATATAAAATGTTTGATTTGTGATTATCTATAAAGAAAAATAATAATGGTTACAATCTGTAAGGCTAAAAGAAAGTAAAATCAAGTACTGTTCTAATCTGCCAATCACTGGAAGGATATTTTAATTGCATTTTGGTAAAGGTGCCTTATTAGATATAGTTAAATAATAAAAATCAAGCAGAATGATGTGTAGTGGTAATAACTGAGAAGCTAAGTTCTTCTAAAATTTGATGAAATAGTAAGTAAAATCAGTCAAGGTAAAAGTACTTATCCAGATCTCAATATAACCTGAAACAATATTTAAATAAGTTATTTTAATTTTATGAGAAAATACACAATTATTATCAGAAGAAAATGCTTATAATCTCAAGGTTGAAAAGGTTTCTTACAACCTAGAAACATAATGGAAAGATTAATGAATTTGATTAGTGCAAAATATAAATATTTTTATAACCAGGTTCCATTAACAGTGACATAAGAAATGCAACACGGATAAGATAATATATTCAGGAATGTAAAACTGGTGAGGGCTAGAATCTAGAATATACAAAGAACTGTTAATTTTTAAAAAGTAAACAATTACACTACAGAAAAACAGATAAAAAACATGAAGTCAATTCAAGAAAGAGAAAGATAGTGAACATTTTAATGGATGTCTGGTCTCAAAGATAATAAGGAGAAATGGTGAAAAATTTAAAGATCTTATAAATTTAAAATGAAACTTGAAACATTAAGTTTTGGTCAGAACATTGGGAAATGGAAACTCCTCTACAATAACACAAATATGTCCTCCCAAATTCTAGCAGAACTAAAAAAAAACAAGATGCAGTCAGAGAAATGTAAGAACATACATTATGACAATGTCTACAACAAAAATTTGAATGAATCCAAATGACTCTTATTTGGGGAAATGACTGAATTAGTTCTTCCATGTCTGAATGCTATGTGTTTTTATATATTCCCTAAGAATATTTATGATCTTTGAGGGAAATTTTAAATTTATGTTAAAGATTTAATCATTAATTTGGAGGGAGAGTGTTGCACTTCTCGATACTCTGTATACTATTTCAGACTCTTGCTTAGCAGTGATGCCTGGCAGTACCCAGGGACTACTTAGGGTTCTAGGGATCAAACCTGGGCAGCTATATGCAAAGCAAGTGTTTTACTTCCTGTACTATTTTCCTGGTCCTCTATTATCACTCATAGTACCTTGTTTCAAATGACACTAAAACATTCTAACAATATCACTCATTAAACTTTTGTCTCAACCCATGTTCATCATTTCAAAGTATGTGACATGTACTGACTTTCCTAATACCAAGTCAATATTGCTGGGATTTCAAGTGTCACAGACAATTCTTTGCATTTTGAGAAATGCTTTTTATTCACTTTGAGAAATGCCTTTTATCTCTAGGACACTGCATTCTAACACAATGTTTTAGACATGTATGTAATTTCCGTGTTTTTCACCCTCTTCTGTCCCACAAACTAGTTTTTAATTCTATTGCTAATTTTTTCGGAACTAAAATTGCTTTTACTTAGAGAAGTCTAGAGAAATATGAGAAGGACAGAAAAATCTTGGTAAAAATGAATTCAGTCAATAGGCAAGATGGGCTAGACATTATAGGAGCATGTATTTTCTCTCTTATCTCTTTTTATTTTCTGACTCTTACATTAAGGTCTCAGCTCTCTCTTTAAATTGTTACTATGCAAACTTGAGGATTTTTTTGTTTTCTTTTCCTTCTTTGAAATTTCTGGGCAATATATAGTGGTGCTCAGGAGACCATGCCATGGTAGAGACATAACTGGGGTCCTACTTGCATGTCCAGCCCTCTGAGCTACCTCCCAGCTGGTAAACTTGAGTTTTACATAAACATAATTAAAATAACATAAAAGGTAAATAATTTTCCAAGTAAGCACAAAAGAAATCCTAGGGAATAACGGGAAACTACAATCCATGGCACATACACTTTATATATAAACAGGGTGTTTTCCAAACAGTAAAAGCTATAAAGACAATGATTATTAATGTGGCAGACTGCTGCATGAATGGCCCCCAATAAATTCTACTTCCCATTATCCATATTCTTCTGCAATGCTCTTGCGTGATTGACTTGAGACCTGGCTATGGGACTTGTTTTACTCAAAAAAAGATGAAAAATGATGGAAGCAGAGGCTTGGGAATTAGCCCAGTTTATCTTAAAGGATGAGAGGTGGGCAGAAAAAAGAGCCAAGTTTCCCAGTCATGAAGAAAATTGTAAAATATCCTTGTTTTAAACCCCTGAGTTTTGGGGTGCCCAATTGTGTAGAAATGGGTAAGGGCTAGACTTTGTGGAAGAGCAACTGATCAAAGTAGAGAGAGAGTAAGAAGGAAGGGGCCTGCCAGAGGCAAAAATAAAAAAATAAAATAATAGGATAAAGGGCAATTGTATCAAGATTCATTGGGAGGAATATGTAGGTTCCTGCATATTGGAGCATGAGATCTGCCATTCCTCTGGTACTTTTCCCTCCTCAACTCTTCAGTTCATTATAAGAAAGTATTTATTTATTTTATTTATTTTTGCTTTTCGGGTTACACAGGAATTATTCCTGGCAGTGCTTGGGGGACCATATGGGATGCTGGGGATTAAACCGGGGTCTCCTGTGTTCAAGGCGAATGCCCTATCTCCTGTAGTATCCCTCGGGGCGCATAAGAAAGTATTTAAAACTAAACATTTAACTGTTACATGGAACATAGAAACTTCAATAAACAAACTTTAACACCATAAATATTTTAATTTTTAAACACTAAACATCTTTCATAAAAAAGATGAAGTTTGAGCCATTTTTAAAAACATACTTGCTAATACTATTTTTACAGGAGCCATTTTTTTTCTAAATTTGTAGGTTCCTTCTATAGTTTTTATACTCATAATCCTTGCATATATTTCTAAATTTCCTTTAAAAAATAAAATTCATGTAAGATTTTTTTAAACGCATGAAACTTCATCAGTTACAGTATGAACTGTCCCGCTTTTCAGTTACCACTGAATACTTTTCCAGTCTAGAAAAGCCAACATGTTTAAGTAATTAATTCTCTGTATTTATCTTTATTAAAAAGATGTTTTTTGTGGTGAGAACAAATAATCTCTCATTTGTTGCTTGAAAGCCTAAAATAGGATCGTTGGTTTCCAGGCTTGCTACCTGTTGCTTAGCAACCTGCCCCACTTGTCTGCCTTCCTTTCTGTTGTAAAGTACTGTGGACATGGGTGTGGGCTGGCGGTAGATGAACACGCGGCGTAGGCACTCGCAAAGGGCTGCGTAAGAATAATTTGGGGCACAGGCAAAAAATTTTTTGTCTCTCTTTGATGCTTGGACATAGCCTGCCAAGAAAGGAGAAAAAAAAAAGGAAAACTAAGTATTAGGAAGAAACACTGATTTTAACATGTAGTGTTAATTTTTAACAACCATAAAATCTGTATTTACTCATATTCAACAATGTTGAGTTCTGAATCATTAATGACCAGTCCCAACCCTTCCCAACCCTTGCAACAATCTAGCAATTCCTAAGGAAGAAAATAGGGCTTCAACTCTTCCAGAAAACCTTCAACTCTTTTAGTAAAACATTTTTTAAAGACACAGTTCTGTATCATTTTCACAAAGATTAAAATAAGAAAAATCTAAAATTAAAGATCCTTAAGTGGTTACTTAATTTCATCAGTCATGGATATGGCATTATAGAGTATTTTTCTTCTAATCAAACGGAAAAATTTTATAGCATATCATTTTAAAGTCATTTCAAGAGTACTTTCAATTTGCAGGTCCTATCCCTAACAGTACTAATATATACAATGTATTCTCTTACTCTGGAGAAACTGGCAGGCTACCAAAAGTATCCTGCCCACACGGCAGAGTCTGGCAAACTCCCCCTGGCGTATTCAGTATGCCAAAAAACAGTAGCAGTGATGGGTCTCATTCTCCTAACCCTGAAAGAGCCTCAAATGTGGCACTTTCTAAAATCTTAGGGCTAGGACGAAGGAGACATTACTGAAATGACTTTAAAATGATATGCTATAAAATTTTTCCGTTTGATTAGAAGAAAAATACTCTATAATGCCATATCCATGACTGATGAAATTAAGTAACCACTTAAGGATCTTTAATTTTAGATTTTTCTTATTTTAATCTTTGTGAAAATGATACAGAACTGTGTCTTTTTCGTCCTATGATACAGGACGAAGTTGCCTGCTCAAGGAAATCGATGAACAACAGGATGACAGTGATACAGTATTCTCTTTATATCTATTTTTATGGGATTTTTATATGCCAGCATCTAAATATGTCTAGATAATAGGATTTTGTATTTCAGCTCCTTGAAGTAGAACCTTGAGTCCACAATAGCTCAGAGAAAATCAAGTATCCAAAAATACTTAGAGTATCCTTTGAAAAATAAACTCTGAAGAAACTAAATATTTTAAAAGATATTCTTCTGACCCATACTAGAGAGAACTAACACCCGACCCCAAATAAATCGGATCAGAAACAAAAAAAGAGAAATTACAATGGACCCCTCAGAAAATCAAGATATCATGAATGGTTACTATGAGCAACTTCACACTGTTAAAAGTTGGAGAACTTCGAAGAAATGGACAGATTCCTAGAATCATGTAACCTCCCAAAACTGAGTGAGGAGAAAATAGAAATCCTGTGACTAGATCAATCTTAGCAAGGAATCAGCAATTGAGAGTCTCCCCAAGAACAAAAGCCTTGAACCAAATAGATATGCAAAAAAATTGCATAATTTAACTTCCTGCCGATTAAATAAATTTTTAAGGAACCTTCAATAATGCATTAACTCGGGCTAATTTACACAAAAACTCCTCCAATATGAACGTATTTTGCATTAAAATCAATTGCAGGTTTATGAACACAGTTTGTAATACAGAGTTCAAAAAATTTCAAGTCCTAAGGGGCCAGAGAGATAGTACAGCAGGTAGGGGCTTGCCTAGTGCAAGGTAGACCATCAGTCTACCAAAACAATCTAATAATCCAACAAAAAATAAAAATCCAAAACAGCAACAATATAAAAACTTCAAGTCCCAGTTTTGAAACTGGCACTTTTCCCGACTTAGTCCATAGCATAAATTTTATTTCTCCTGGTCCCTAATTTCCCTGTGTTTTCATTAGAATGTATCTCTTTGCACTTTAGTTCCACAAACAAGGTCTCCTAAAGGAGCTCATCTTTGAGCTCTTTAATGATGTTTTTTTGAAGGTTACACTGAAGAAACTGGAATACAAATTCCATGAGTTATTATCAAATCACCTGTTCATATCCTACTATTGCATTCCTAACTGGAATAAACTAATGACTGATGAGAATTATTAAAATGGTTAGATAACCATTTTGTTTTATATTCTGTTGGTCTTCTGTGCCAGAAGCAAAACAGATCGCTCCTAACACTCCGAAAGTACTAACGTGCATCAACTTTAGTACAAGCAGCTAAATTATAGCACAAATCAATCCAAATAAAATTAGGACAGTTCAAGATTTTTAAAAAGCCAAAAAACAAAAAAGAGAAATGAATAAAAAGACGGTTTCCATTTTTGAGTCAGTGGAAAACGCTGTCAGAGAGACACTTTACCTAAAGCGTTGAAAGTCGCGATGTGCTCCCACATGTCCTCTTGCTGGCTGGAGTGCGGCTGCCAGAGGAGGCCGTCCACATCGTGGCGCAGACAGAAACATGGCATTTCTTTAGGGTCCACAACAACAGAGAAAAGGTACTGGTTGCTTCCGAGACTCACCTAAAACCAGGAATGTCAGAAAATGCAATAGTTCACTCTCAATGCTGAGTTAGTAACGATGATGGCGAGAAACACATACAGCACTCTTATCGCAGGAGAGAAACAGATCATTGCTCTGTCCGTTTATAAAGCAAAGGGCATATAAGTAACTTGCCAGAGGGCAGGCTGGTGGTAAGTGATGGGCTGCGGTGTAAACCTAGCTTAGTTGTGTTATTATACTGCCTTCCAACTTTCAAACATGATATAAAGTTTAGCACATAGCACAAAGGGCGGGCTCTACAAGCAGATTATCTTCCAAACCACAGAATACAAAGTTTACAAAATGGTAATATAATAACATTAATAATTACCACAGACAGGACTGATGTGCTGATATGTTTTAGTTATTAGTCCCAATAGTCCAACAAAACAGTTATGACCTTCACTTCATTAAGTGAAAACAGACTCAAACAGCTTAAGGATTTTGTTCAGGGTACACAACAAAATCATGGTGCTGGGATTCAAATTCAAGTATGTCTGTTACCAAATTTTTTACTTTAGTGTACTACTCAAATTAGATAATCAATGTCAAGAATGTTTATCATGTTAATAACTGGTATTGTGCTATTTATAGCTAAAGGCACCCATTTTAATGTAAAAATCAAGGAAAGACCATGACTGGATTCGATTAAAATACTATCTTTAATGGAGACTAACTGCAGTGATATTGTTTATTAGATGTTAACTTCAGAGGTAAGAATGTGAAACAGCCTAGTACTAACAAAAAGCATCTCAAGTGTAGACAGCATAAAACATGCATGCTACTGATCTCAATGGGCTGGAGCAATAGCACAGAAGGCACACAGCCCACCTGGCCAACCCAAGTTTGACTCCTCCACCCCTCTCGGAGAGCCCGGCAAACTACCTGTGAGAGTATCTCGCCCGCACGGCAAAGCCTGGCAAACTACCCGCGACGTATTCGATATGCCAAACACAGTAACAAGTCTCACAATGGAGACATTACTGGGCCCGCTCGAGCAAATCGATGAACAACAGGAGGGCAGTGCTACAGTGCTACTTGATTAATGTTGAGCTGATTCCATGCGGCCAGGGACAGCAGGAAGAAAGTGAAAGTAAGAGGTGCCCTATATTCAACAGGGAGAACTGTGAGGAGGCTCTCCAACCAAAGGACCCATTGCAAAGCTGTTCTGGGACAGGCGGCTGGTGATGGGAGAATCCAGAGACAGAGAAATCCGATTACACATCCCCCTGGTGCCTGAGTCCTGTTTCTGAGCGGGGCCAGAGCTATTCCACAGAAGAAAGGGGATGAGCAATACACAAATCACAGACTACTTCTCCATTCCCTTGGTTCTTGATCGTAACTACCAAAGTGAGGTTACCTTTCAAAATCGCCAGACTGTTAACCAAACAGCGGTCTCCAGTGGGAGATAAATACTGTCAAGAGGGTCAACTATACGGTGACAAATGGAAATGGAAATTCTCAGGTGTATATAAATGCAATAAGCACATATAGATGTTTTATGTGAAATGCTGTGAAAAAACAAATCTAAATACCATTGTAAGCCACAGTCACTTAAATTTTATAAACAAAGAAAAAAGGGACTGAAACAGGTACTTTATAGATTTACTACAGTTTCACTATCTTTGTAAGAGCTATTTTCTATACGGTGGGATGGGGCAGACACAAAACTTCCTGGAGGTTAGCTTCATAATAAAGGCAAACCTAGACAGAGAGTAACCAGACCAAGACAGAAAGGGGGTGTGGACGAAGGCAGGACTGCTGGGTTCCTTGCCGGAGCCTGAACTAAAGCTGTAAGAATGGCCTTTCCCGGGAAAGTTAACTGCAAATACATTTCCCCAGGATGCAAAAAAACCTCTTGAATGGGGTTCCTAAGATCCTAGTTTTCTAACTTGTTGTGTGGCAGAACTATTGTTTATTTTATAATACATTTCTAGCAACTGTGACAGGAATAGCAAACTATCCTGGAGCTTGTCCCAAACTGTCTTATTCTACTTCATTATAAAAATCAGGCCAGAAGGAAAACAAATGTCATGAAGAATCTCACTGATGCAGAGATGACTAAATTCAAGGAGATGGCGGGCTTGAAACTGTGATGAAACTGGGTGGAGGAGGGGAGTGTGTAGGGTGTGGAGGGAAGTGTCGTGGGGAGAGGTGAGACACAGAGGGGAGGGCCAAGCCCAGCAGCACTCAGGGGCTAGTTCTGGAAGTTCTTAGAGGACCCCTTGCTTCCAGGGAGCCCCTGGGGGATATTCCATGCAAATCATGCTCTCCAGTCCTTTGGCTACATGGGGACGCTAGTCCCAGGATACTACAAAGAGGAAGTAGATAAAAACCGCACAAACGAGAACCCTGGCACCAGAGGGCCAACCAGAAAAAGACTTTGAGCCATCTCCCCTGGACCTGTGAAGAAATCTTAAGAATCAAGAAATATAAGACGCAACTGTAATTATCTTTCAGAAGAGATGAAAAAGAGGAATGGAAAACTATCTCAATTTGATCCATAAATTAAGTGATAGGAGTAACTGATGACACCTTCTATCTTACTCTTACTGTCTTCTTAAAAGAATATATAGGATACATGTCTTTTCTACTACCTTTCATGAGTTTAACCTAGAGATTTCCTGTTCTCATAAACTGTCACTTGATCACTTGATCCCCCATTATTCATTGATTTACTCGAGCGGGTGCTGGTAACGTCTCCATTTATCCCTGTCGCATGCTAGCGTAGCCCAATGGCATGTGTTCATTCTAGGAACATGCAGAGCCTCAAACCGATCATTCAGGGTCTTGACGAAGAAGTCTGACCATCTTGTAGGTGGGCAGCCACATGATCTTTTGACGTCCTGTGGAATCCAGTCAGTAATGGCTCTAGTCCAGTGGTTGTCTGTAAACCTCATTACATTAAACCCCGATTTGCACGTGTAGTGTAAGAGAGTCATGTTTGTCTAGAAAGCCACCACACACGCCTGTTGTTACATGTCCTACACTTTGCATTTTTTCATATGGGGCAGAAGACTCACAAGTGAAAATATAAACTGTGTAAGTTGCAAGTACTATTTTTTGCTGGTTTTATCTCCCCCCCCCCCCCCACACACACACACACCCAGATGTGCTCAGGGCTAACTCCTGCCTCTGAGGTCAGGGATCACTCCTGGCCGACTTGGGAGACCATATCTGGTACAAGGGATGGAACCCCGATTGATCACATGCAAGGCAAGCATCCTACCTGATGTACTATTGCTCTGGTCCCTGATTCAATCTTGTTTTTAAAAGCAAAAGATAGTTTCTTGGATCAGACACTAGTCAAGTATAATTCATTATCAGAAAGTAGCCTACTCAACCCTTTCATAACTCAAGTACATATTTAATAGAATCCCCAAGGAACTAATAGATGAAAAGTGACATGAAGCACTTTTCATGTACCTCCTGGTCATCTCTGAGGAAGCTTTTGTTCATCTCTTCTCAGTTTTGGATGGAGTTGACTATTTTCTTCCAAGTTTATAGGTTTCCCAGTTTTTATTTAGGCACTAAGATTTACAATATTATTTTAGAAGTTGTAACGTCTAGATACTGTCTCCTGATTTTTTTCAATTTTTTTAATACAAGAAAAGGCACTTGTCACAGATGTCAAAAAATGCTGCTGAGAACTTTAGTTCCTCTAAATAGTATTAAGTTGGACTGATCAGTTGTTTACTGTTGATTGCTGAGAAGCCCTAAGTTAGTGACAATTCTCATTTTTTGTATTTGAGCAGAATTATTGGAAAAATTATGACACTACTTCCACTACCCAGCCGTCGCCACACTCCAGGACGCTTTCCGGACCCACGCGGCAGCTCCGGCCGAGACCCACGCACAACTGAAGACCCACAGAACAAGGTAAGTGGAACTCTCTGAGACCTTGGACTCCAGGCTCGGCGGACCCAGGGACAGAGCTTCTCTGCTTGCTCCCACCACCACAGGTGACAAAGGGATTCTAATCAGGAGCCCCACCCTACCCTGCCCTGTCTGCTTCCATCAACCACCCAGGGATCGAATTGTGCACAGGAGACCCACCCTACCCAGATAAATACCCCACTGGCAGATTTCCACTCTCGACACTACTTCCACTACCCAGCCGTCGCCACACTCCAGGACGCTTTCCAGGACCCGCGCGGCCGCAAGCGGCCCCGCGACACATCATAAGACACTAAATACCCATCTTCTGGAATTGTCGTACCATATTTGATAGGGTTCAAATATGGTAACACCTACAAGGGTGATTAGAGGCCACCCCAAAAGTCTCTATATCTCTCGGAAAGACTGGCAAGCTACCAAGAGTATTCCGCCTGCACGGAAGAGCCTGGCAAGCTATCCGCTGTGTATTCGATATGCCAAAACCAGTAACTACAACTGGTCTCATTCACCTGACCCTGAAGGCTTCACCGACATGGCAGCACTGAGAAGGATGAGAAAGGAGAGGCCGACAAAATCTCAAGGCCGACCTAGGCTGCCACAACGAAGGAAGACAAAAATGATCGTCTGTACTTTCAATGCACGTACGCTAGCATCAGATGCATCCATCGAGGACCTGATGGTACAAGCGCGAATGATCAAGTACGACATCAATGGTCTGACCGAGACAAGAAGGCACGAATCTCACCATGCTGTTTTCGACACTGGAGAAGAATTGTTCCTCGGAACATGCGATAAAAGAGGTGTTGGAGGCGTCGGTGTCCTTGTCAACACAAATTTGGCCAAGAGCATTGATTCATTCGAATGCCTAACAACCCGAATCGGACGTTTACATTTGAATAGATGTGGCTCACTGCCTGCAGTTTCTATCTTCGTTGTCTATGCACCAACATCTCATTATGATGAAAGAGAAATCGAGAAGTTCTACATGGAGCTAGAGAAGTTCTATAAAGAAGACCACACCTTCTACAAGATCATTGTGGGTGATTTTAATGCCAAGATAGGACCGAGAAGATCAGCTGAAGAACTTCACATCGGGACCCATGGCCTAGAATGGAACGAACAGGGTGAGAGACTGTCTGAGTTCATCATGTCGACCAAGACCATTCATGGTAACTCACAGTTCCAGAAGGCAGAATCTAAACGATGGACATGGGAGTCTCCCGGTGGACGATTCCACAACGAAATAGACCACATCATATTCAATCGACGATTTTGCCTGACTGATGTCACTGTTGTCCCAAAATTTCGAACGGGATCAGACCACCGTCTCCTTCGTGCAAAATTCTACTTCACAGAGTGGGGAGAAAGGGCTGCAAAGTTCAAAAAGAGAACTCCCAGAATGACCACCAACTGGGAACTCTTTGGTACTATTGCGGCAACATGGGAAGATGCCATTGTTGACAACATTGACGAGGAATACGATCGACTGGTTCAGCACCTCCATGAATGTGCGAGGAACGCCAAGAGAGAGATAGCCACAAAAAGTCGCCTATCTTCGAAAACTCTTGAGCTAATTCGCCAGCGTGGTTTGGCGCATGCCTCAGGCAACCGCAAGCTAACGTCCGAGCTTGCAAAGCAGTGCAGAGATGCGATCAAGGAAGACCTCAAAGAGAGAAGAGCAGAAGTACTGATAGATGCGGCAGAAGCCGGGAAAAGTATTCGTAACGCCCGCCTGTCCTTCGCCAACTATAAGACCAAGATGACTGCCCTCCGACGTCCTGATGGATCCATCACATCCTCCAGAACGGCAATGGAGAAGATTATCCATGACTTCTACTCAAATCTCTTCGATAGCCATGTCCACTTGCCGACATACCAAATTCCACAGGATGGGTATGTCGTTCCTAACGTTCTCCCTTCCGAAATCCGACACGCCATTTCGTTGGTAAAGAAGCAAACAGCACCCGGCCCAGACAAGGTCAGACCTGAACACCTGAAGAACCTGCCGTCAGTACTCATCAATACACTGGCTCGGCTCTTCACTCGCTACCTGTCTGAATGCAAGGTTCCGTCCCAATGGAAAACCAGCAGGACCGTACTACTGTTCAAGAAGGGAGACATCCATGACATTGGCAACTATCGCCCGATCTGCCTATTGTCTGTCATCTACAAGCTGTTCACTCGAGTCATCCTGAATAGGATTGGCAGAACACTAGATGGACAACCATGCGAGCAAGCCGGGTTCCGCAAAGGATTCAGCACCATCGACCATATCCACATGATAACCAAGCTCATTGAGGTTTCTCGGGAGTTCAAGATGCCGCTCTGCTTAACGTTCATTGATTTAAAGAAGGCCTTTGATTCTGTTGAGACGGAAGCGGTCATTGAAGCCCTAGCCAATCAGGGCATTCAAGCCCAATACATCAGGATCGTCCGTGAGCTGTATTGCGGATTCACTACCAGGATCTCACCATTCTACAAAGAAGTGATCGTTGATGTCAAGAGAGGGGTGCGGCAGGGTGATACCATTTCACCGAAACTCTTCAGTGCCACCCTCGAGAACATCATGCGACGACTGGAATGGGAAGGAATGGGAGTGAAGATAGATGGTCGGCAACTACACCACCTCCGCTTTGCTGATGACATTGTTTTAATAACACCAAACATCAGCCAAGCGGCACAAATGCTGGCCGACTTTGACCGTGAGTGTGGAAAGGTAGGACTACAGCTGAATCTTACGAAGACAATGTTTATGAGAAACAGCCTTGTTCCTGACGCCCCATTCGCTCTCAATGGAACGACCATCTCCGAATGCAACAGCTATGTGTACCTAGGTCGAGAGGTCAACATGACAAATGACCTGGCACCCGAGCTGCGCAGGAGGAAGAGAGCGGCTTGGAACGCCTTCAAGAACGTCGAAGAAATAGCTAAGAGGACAAAGAACCTCCGGCTCCGGGCACATCTCTTTGATTCCACTGTTCTTCCTGCATTAACATATGCCTCAGAGACCTGGGCCCTACGCAAACAAGATGAGAACGCCATTCAGGTCTCCCAAAGAAGAATAGAAAGAGCTATGCTTGGAATAACACGTTTCACTCAAATGAGAGAACGAATCCGGAGTTCTGACATCCGTCGACGATCAAGGATCAGGGACGCTGTCTCATATGCCAAGGTGTCGAAAATCAGATGGGATGGTCACGTAATGAGATTTAAAGACGACCGTTGGACTAGAGCTGTTACTGATTGGATTCCACGGGATGTCAAGAGACTGCGTGGCCGCCCACCTACCAGATGGTCAGACTTCTTTGTCAAGATCATGAACGATCGGTTTGAGGCCCTCCATGTTCCCGGAGCGAAGAGATGCCATTGGGCTACACTAGCACGCGACAGGGACAAATGGAGACGTTACTGGTGCCCGCTCGAGCAAATCGACGACTAACGGGAAGTTAAGTGATTAAGTGATTAAGTGAGCAGAATTATTTAATTAATTTAAAATTAATTAAATTTTAACTAAAATTAATAAAATTCTAACACAGCGGTAGGGCGTTTGCCTTGCACGCAGCCAACATGGCCGACCCGAGTTCGATTCCTCCGCCCCTCTCGGAGAGCCCGGCAAGCTACCGAGAGTATCTCGCCCGCACGGCAGAGCCTGGCAAGCTCCCTGTGACGTATTCGATATGCCAAACACAGTAACAACAAAGTCTCCAATGGAGACGTTACTGGGCCCGCTCGAGCAAATCGATGATCAATGGGAGGGCCTTTACTTTACTTTACTTAACTATTTTAATTAATTTAAAATTAAATTATCTGGCTGCCTTAAAGATGCAATGGAAACTATTCCTGGAAACCTCTAGCTCTCTAGAGAAAAGGTCTCAGAGAACTAAACAGAATATGCTAGATATTTCTTCCTATATTTACCAACCAGATGTCACTTCACTCCTAAGGGATTTATAGAAACTGGATGTCATACTTGCAGAGACTTCTCTGTGTGTGACTACACAGAAGTATCAGTAGTAGAGAAGTGCAAATCTCTTGGGGTTTTTTATGAAAGGATTTTTCCAGGGTTTTTACAAGTCACACAAATCAGTGAGTCACATTAATACAAATTTTAAAGCTCGTCACATACACACGAAAAAGGGTCAACAATAAAACAACACTTTGAAGCAAAACCAATAACTTACGAACAATTAGTAAGGATCTTAAAAAACTAGACCATCCTCAGTCCCAGAGTACAGGCAGGAAAAGGAAAGGAATCGAGAGAGAGAGAGAGAGAGAGAGAGAGAGAGAGAGAGAGAGAGAGAGAGAGAGTGGCGGGGGGTGAGGGGGGAGAAGGGAGAAGACAGATGACAAGAAACATGAGAGGGGGACAGGGGAGCAGGGGGCAAGGACTTTCAGGTACAGTGATAGTATGATAGCACAGTGGGTAGGGCATTTGCCCAGATGGGGTTTGATCCCCAGCATCCCATATGGTTCCCAAGCACCGTCAGGCATGATTCCCAAATAACCTCTGAGCAATACTGGGTGTGACCAAATAAAAAGGAATACAGCTAAATATCAAAACCAGAGTTAACAACACTGAAGTCATGGGATCCAAACTTTAACTATTGCTTACAAAGGTGCCTGTCAAGGTGGCAGTTTGGGGGTAAAGGTACAGGAAGGGAAGCTAGGAACACTTGGGAGGGAAGATGGCACGGGGGTGGGGGGGGGGGGATTAGTGCTATAACACTGCCTGTCTAAAACCAACTCTGTAACTTTGCTCATCAAAGTGCTTTAACAAAATACATTTTAAAAACCTGAGAAGGCAGGTAAAGATGCTGTGATCTAGGTAATAACTGCAAATGCTAAGAATGAGAATAGTACATATCAAATGTGTTCCAAGGGAGAGGAAAGCCATTTTAAATCTCTTGAGGTTTTAATCAAAAAATTTCCCAAGTTTTTAACAGTTCACACAAATCAGTAAAACGTTGTAAAAAAAAAAAAGACTAAAACATTTAAAAAAAAAGGCAACAGTAAAACAACACTTTAAAACAATATCCTGTAACTTACAAATTAATTGATAAGGATCTTTTAAAAAGTGGAAGGGCAAGTAAAGACTAGTGACCTAGGCAATCACGGCAAATACTCAAATGAAAATCTAAGTGGAAAGCCATACATCAGAACCCAATTGTATGGTACTTTAACTTCTATAACTCTGTTAATAAAGGGCTGTGCACCCCAACTCTAGTCACCCAGAGTTTAAATACTTTTGAAAACAGAAAGGCTTCATGCAAAAATAGCCACTTAAAAAAACTGGCATCATGAATAAAGGGATTTTAGAAAGTGATTAAAGATGTACTTGTAGAGCAAATAGAAAGACACACACACACACACACACACACACACACACATACACACACACACAAACACGGACAATACTAAAGTAAAAACCAACCATTAAACCAGAGATTGAAATAACATGAAGTGCTTCTTTTCATAATGTTGAATGAAAAAAGATGTGATTAATATACATTGCAAGTTCACAACTGGATATTAAATACCTGCACAGAAAAAAAAAGTTGAATAAAAGTTATCAGTAGACAGAAGGACAAAAACTTAACACTTTCATGTGTGAATGCCGGTGAAATGAAGATATGCTATGTATGCTGTGTTGGAATGACATCACAGAGAATACCAAACAAACAAATCAGCTTTGCAAAATACATTTTTGATCATTCAATGTTCACATCTGAGTAAATTCTATTCAATTCACACAGTTTTAGGAAAGCTATCAAGAACTTACCACATGCGTAGTTTTTAATGTCTGACCATCAAATCTGCATAAACTGGAGCTCTCTTCAAAGAAAATATCACATTCTTCTAACTCTTGAGCATTACAAGGAGGTTTTTCTTTATCTGGATTTGGATTCTTAAACAAAGGGGGAAAAAAAACAACATTAAGGAATGAATATTTTCTTGACTATAATTTTCTTGAATATAATCTAAATTTGAAACATTTATATATTAAAACAATTAAAATCTATATTTCTGGGGGCAGAGAGAGAGTACTATGGGCAGAGTGATTGTCCCGCATGCAGCCATCCTGAGTAAAAGCCCCGGCCTACCATACAGTCCCCTAACCATTGCCAGGAGTGATCCCTAAGTTCAGAGTCAAGAGCAAGTACTGAGTACAGCCAGCTGTGGTCCAAACACCAAACCAAACCAAACCAAACCAAATCACACCAAATAACCTAAATTTCTAATCCATGACCTATAAAAGCCTAATAGAAACATGAAATGGCAGAATGAATAACCAGCAGGGAAGTATACTAAGACAGCGACTATTAATATGTTCCAAATGTTCAAAGATGTAAAAACAAACATGAACATATTGAGAAACTTAAAAGTTATAAAAACTCAACATTTAGGATCAGAGAGATAGAACAGTGGGTACGCACTTGCCTTCCACATGACAGGGATTGATCCCTGATGCCCTATAGGGTTCCCCAAGTCCTGCCACCAGTAGTTCTGCAGAACAGAGCCAGAAATAAGACCTGAACATCACTCAGTGTGGCCCAAAAACCTTAAAAAAAATCAGTATGTGAAATGGAAAAAAAAAAAAAGGAACGAAATTGAGAGCTGTTTAATCACTGCAGAAGACCGGGGAGTTTGGAACCAAGTGAATACCTAAAATGCAGCACAGAGCGAACCATGAAAACAAGATCCCACTGACTTCTGGGGCATTATCAATGGCATACATACGTATAAGAAAAGTGATTAAGAAAAATCCACAAACACCCAAAAAAGAGGTCGGGGAAGCAATCGACGAGGCTGAGCCCATGCCCACCACGTGCAAAGTGCTGAGTTTGGTTCCCTTCTCTGCAGGGTCCCAGAGCATTGGTCCCTTGTAAAACCGGTCAGATTACAGGTGTGACCCAGTGAGCCCTGAAAACTCTGACCTAAACCAGTCTGAGCTCTGTCCCAGGAAATATATCCATAAAAAAAAAAGATATTTCTCACCAGTTTTATTCTGGTAAGAACTGTAAACCTATAGATTTAGATCAAAGAACTCCAAGCATAACCTGTCCCCAACCCCCCCCCCCCCCAAAAAAAAGAGAATCACAGAAAGAGACTTAACAAAATTACTGAAAAGTAATGATAAGTATTTTTTTTGAGGGGTTGGTGGGATGGGAGGGGGATGTCATGAAGAATTGACCCAAGGCTTTCTATATACTAGGCAAGCATCAACCACAGAGACATATCCTTCTGTCCAATTATAAAAACCTGAAAAGCAATCAAAGGGAGAAAAACACTTGTAGGGGTGAGGAAGCATTTATCTTGACAGGAGCAATTAAGATATTTCTAACATCATTCATGTTAGAATGAATACAGTAAAGGCAAACAGGCTTCTGGCAATAAATGACAAACACGTGGTCGGGACAGATTACATTATTTCAGGCCTTATACAGCCTGCAGGCCAGAGGTTCTACACCCCTGTCTAGAGAGGAATAGACTTAAAAGACAGAAACAGTGAACTTATAGTAAACTCAGTAAAAAAGAAAGAATATCTGGTAGTCCACGGTGGGGGGAGAAGAACCCTAGATGTCAACAAGTCAACACTGAATTAAATATCCATAACATAAAAAAAGAAAGATGGGTATTTTGCAGATACAAGATGAATTTATCGCCAGCAAACTTGTACTACAAAAACATATTATAGGGATTTCTTCAGCAAGAAAACTGCCATAAAAAAAAAGAAAAGAAAGAAAACTGACATGAGATGAAAATTTGAATTGACACAAAGAAATGTGTAACAAAGTAAAATGACAAACATATAGATCAGTGGACAATCATTGTAAATCATAGTTCTGATCTCTCTAAGAGTACCAAATGGCTGAGAGTAAGAAATTTATAAAACATGGGGGGGCTGGAGGGATGTATGTCAAGACACTAGATGAAGGAATAAAAACATACTGTGCAACTACTGCACCACTCAAGCAGTTCATAAGATGTATGTAGAACTGAACACAATGGCAGAAGAGCGTGAAAGGACACCTAGAATCTGAGAGGGTTTGCTCTATTAGATCTGTTTGTGCCCCGGAACCCAGATGTGGTGCTCTTCTCCAGGTAAAAAGTCAAAAGAAGTAGTTGCTGCCACTGACTGAGAAGGAAATGACAGCTGATGAGTTGGGATCAATACGCCCAGCGATCTGAAAAGGAAAAGGATGTCCAGAAGAATGCAGAAGCTAGATACTTTCTCTTCTTTCCCTTCCTTCCCCCTTCAGCTATCCCTATGTTTTGTTTTGTTTTTTGTTTTTTGTTTTTTACTTATTTTGGTTTGGGGGCCAAAACCAGCAGTGGGCAGAGGTTACTTTACTCCTGGCTCTGCACAGAGTAATTACTCTTGGCAATCCTTGAGGAACTGTAAGGGATGCTGGGAATCCAACCCAGGTTGGCCATGTGCAAGGTAAGTGCCCTACCTGTTGTATTATCATCCTGGCCTTCAGATATATGTTAAAGATGGCAGGACAAAAATTAAAATTACAAGGCTTACTTCTAAGGCGGAGGAATCGAAGTAGAGTCCGGCAAGCTACTGAGAGTATCTCACCTGCACAGCAAAGCCTGTCAAGCTACCCCTGATGTATTTGATATGCCAAACACAGTAACAACAAGTCTCACAATGTTACTGGGCCTGCTCAAGCAAATCAATGAACAACGGGAGGACAGTGACAGTGACTTCCAAGGCAATCAGTACTCAACTAGACAAGATCACAGAAATACAGGAATGGGAGAGAAGAAACTTTGCTATTTTCCTAAAACTATAGATTGAAGACATTAAAAAAAATCTGCATCAGATCTATCTGTGATGCAATTAAAATAGGCTGAAAATACAGGGGATTGGTTAAAGTACCATTGAAATAAAAATGCATGCCAAAATTAACCATCCAAGCTTTCATCTTTGAAACCAGAGCAGAATTAATTTAAAGGAAAAGGAAGAAAATAGTCAATACAAAAGTATGGATTAATAAAACTGAAAACTGAAAATGAATAAATAAATAAAAGTCTCAAATAATCATATGTTAAGAAAATTAAATTCATAAATAAAAATTTTTCCCAGGAGGGTCAGAGCTTTATTACAGTGGGTAGGGTGCTTGCCTTGCATGTAGCAGAGCTGGGCTCAATCCCTGGCACTACATATAGTCCCCAAAGCCCTACCAGGATTGATCCTTTAGCACAGAGCCAGGAGTAAGTCCTGAGCATCAAAGGTATGTCCCATAAGCAAAACACCCTATCCCTGCATCACTGTCATCCCATTGTTCATTGATTTACTTGAGTGGGAGCCAGTAACGTCTCCATTCGTCCCAGCCTTGAGATTTTAACAGCCCCTCCTTACTCATCTTTCCCAACGCTGCGTATTGGAGGTTCTTTCAGGGTCAGGGGAATGAGACCCAATATTGTTACTGATTCTGGCATATCGAATACGCCACAGGTAGCTTGCAGGGTCTGCTATGCAGGCAGGATATTCTCGGTAGCTTGCTGGGCTCTCCGAGATATATATATATATATATTATACACACACACATATATATTATATATATTTTATATATTTTAAATGTATATATATATATGTTTCCCTCTGATTTTTGCCTAAACATAACAAAACAAAAATAAAACAAACAAAAAATATTTCCCAGGAGGGAAACATAGCCTAAGAGAAAAGGCTCATACCCTGCATGCGACCAAGCTAGTTTGAGCCTTGGCACATGATCCCTCAGCAACACCAGGTGCAGCCTAGGGCCCCCCCAAATCACCAGGAAGGGCAGCCAGGTCACCTAAGCATCAACTGGGAGCCCCGTACCCTACAATCAAAAATCTTTCCCAAGAAAGAAAACCGCAGTTCAGAGAGTGTCACTGAAAAAATTCAACAAAGATTTAATGAAGAAATAATTCCACAATCTAATGAAGAATTTATTAAATTTATAATTTTAACAATGTAATGAAGAAATGAAAAAAAAATGAAATGAAATGAAGAAATAAGTCCACACAATCTCTTACAGAAATAAATATGTATGGAGGCAAATCCATACACATTGTATAAAGGCAGCTTGACCTTGCCCGAAGAACTGGGGGTGAAGAGGATGCGGGTGGCAGAGACAAAACTATATATCAAAATTCCTCCTCACAATAAAAAATAAAGAAGAAAAAAAATTAAGAAAAAAAAAAGAAAAAAATTAAAAATAAAAGAAAACAAATAAAATTCTTCCACACAGAAGCAAACCTCTTAAATAAAACACTAGTAAACTCAAATTAGTAGTATGCAAAAAAGAATGCTATAATACAACCACTGGGCTTATCAATCACAAATGATGAAAATGCATCAAAATTTCAGTCTCTCAAGATAAGCACTCACCACTCACAGCACAGTTAGAAGTTAGATAAAAGTTATTATAACTAGACCTAGCTATCATACTTAACCGTGAAATATACTTTGCCCCATGATCACAAGAATGCCAATTTTCATCATTAGTCATTTCTATTTCACAGTGCATTGTAATCAAGGATTTTCAGCAAGGAAAATTTGAAAACCACAAAACTAGCTGCAGATGCAGACGTCAAGATTCTTCTCATATGATAAACTACTATTACATGCCCAGCACTCTATCACAGTAAGTGCTTAATGTATGAACTAATCTACGGCAATGCAGTGTGTTGGCTACAATAAGACTTCAGAAAACGAAGTTTGTCGTCTTAACAAATAAATTCCAGTACCTTCTAAAATTTTCAGTTATTGCTAGCAAATCTGAAATTTGATCTATACATTTAGCTATAATTTTCTTTTGACTAATTTTTTTTTCATTTTTAATATTCTAGTTTTCCCCCACTAATATAATGTTTGCTGTGGCTTGTGGTAAATGGCCTTGACTGTACTGATGAAAGTTCTTTCAATTCCCATTTTGCTGAATTTTTATCATGAATGAATCCTGGACTCTTGATATTCCAATCCTTCCCTCTGCCTTAGGATGCAACTAACCCTGCAGTATAAATAATTCTTTAAATCATCTTCCCAATATGTTCTAATTACAGATGGCAGTATGCCAGACATTTCATATGTGCTGTTACCTTAGGTAAATTAAAATATAAAACTAAAATCCGGGTGCCCTGCTGTATTTGTAAAGCTTCTTCAAATTATCTTAGAGTTCACAGAGTTGGAACATATTCCTCAAAATCTCAGAATTCAACTGTATTGTTGCTGTAATAATTAAAGTACCGTGTCAATCAAAAATAATTGCAGCACATGACACAATATATATACATCCTGTTACAATCTAAGATTGGCTAGAAAACTGAAATAATAAAATAGAACAATCTAGGTTAGACTGCAAAACTCAGTGTTTTCCCTTCCAGCTCTGACCAGTCATGTACGCAGCACACAGCTAAGAGAAGCTCACACACACACAGAATGTACAGAAGGTGACAACTTCACATCAGGTGCAAACACCAGGTCGGCTGTGGTTTCTTTTAGAAAAAGTGAAATAACGTTGGAAAAGTCTCACGTAACAGACTCCTGGATTCTTGGCCAGCCACACCACTCCTGAAGTTCCTTACCAGCTCGTCAGAGGTCAAATGCATCAAGCGTTCAGCTATGGCGGCGCACTGGGCTGAGTCTCTTAGCATCTGCCCCTGTTTATCACCAATGATGAGCTCCGGCCACGTCAGTCCTTCGTTCTTCTTAATCAAAGAAATCTCTAAGCTAGAAATAGAAGTGAAGAATGAGATTTTTACATTTGGCAACGATAGAAATTCTGTAATAGGAAATAGAAGGCTCTTCCACAGAAATGATCATCCTCCCAGCTGAGCTCCAAGACCCTCATATCTATGACCTGAGGGCTTCTTCCCAGGGGGTTTTCTTTCTCTTTAAAAACATCTTAAAGATGAAGACTCAAACTTCATGAAGTGAAAGTGAAGAACGGACAGGGGACGGAAATACAGCGCAAAATGGCTTAAAAAATATTCACTAAATTTAAATCATCTTGCCTACATTCACACATAATTAAAAAAACACCCTTTACACTTAGAAGTAAAATGATCCCACTGGCATCCAGATGATATTTTACCAAGATTCAAGTTCATTTTAGATTTGCAGATGCTGGATCACTTACAATTCTAAGTCAACATTTAGAGTTAATAAATAGGAAAGCATCAATAGAAATGCTTTGTCAAAAGGCAGGATGAGAGGAGTGACTGGACCAGGTAAGATGACCACAAAATACTGCAGTTCAGGCATGCAGTGTGCTACTGAGCCAAAGTAAACAAAAGTAGGAGCAGCATGGATCTACAAGCTATTTCACAGAATCGGGGGGAAGGGTGGTGGTGGTGGTGGTCAGGGAAGAAAAGCACGAAGAATTAGAAAAGCATTTAACTGAAGATACCTTTCTGTCTGTGGAGCCCAAACTGCCTTCACTTTCACAAACTAGTAGCTGCAATATATGAATATTAATCTAAAGCTTGGGCCTCCCATAATTCTTAGACCATCAGGCCTGCAGTTTGATGTGAGGGTCCAAGGATGAGGTGCTGCTCAGCTCTGTGGGGCCAGGATTACCTGGGTTAGCCCAACTGTGGTCAGGGGCCTTCAGGAATGCACTAGCTATACCTAGAGGACTATGAGGTGGCAGAGATCAAACAAAGTGGCTGCATGCAAGACAGACATCTTAACCCCAAATGATCTCTACAGTCTCTTGACTGTATTACTGATTCAGCTATTAAAGAAATGTTGCATCAGAAAGATGCAAAGCCTGGCAAACTACCCATGACATATTCAATATGCCAAACACAGTAACAGTGAGTCCCAAAATGGAGACGTTACTGGGCCTGCTCGAGCAAATCGATGAACAACGGGAGGACAGGACAGGACTGCATCAGAAAAAAATTAAAATCAGAAATATAAACAGATTAATGCAGTCTCTGTTGAACTATTTTAGATTTAATTTTGTATACACGTAAGTCATTAGACACAATGTCCAAATACACAACAAAAGGACCTTCTAGAGGCACCTGAAATTCTGGACTAGTGCATCAGATGAGAAGTTTGCTGAATCTGGGCAGACTACGAGCACAGGGAGTTGCCCAAGTGCTTCCTAAAAAAGCAAAACCCAAGTAAACTATTTGAGAGCAGTTGTTGCTATAATAGAAGAAAACTTAAGGATGAGGGTAACTAGGATATGGCCTGGCCATGGTGCCAGGTACCATGTTTAGCATGCGTGTGCCACACTAACCCGTGCCCTGGAATATAAGGACAAGCAAACAACTGCCAAGAGCACAGGAATGATTATTGCTAATTATCAAGCAGAACGTGCAAACTTATCCACTATTCTTTTCCAAAGCTGTTATCATCGCTTCATGAATTACAGTATTTTAAATCTTTCTGGAACCATTTATCTTGAAACTGTACAAAATAGTATCTTCGATAACATGAATTCTTATCATTAGCATTGAAAATTGCCACCATAATCAACAATGTCCAGATTTAGCTGCATTTTCTAAGGAGAAAGTTAAAAGTTGATCGTGATGATGACGAAGATAATATAGTAGCTTATGAAGTACCACGTTTACCACAGACCAGGTGCTATTTTCAGCACTACACAAGTTTTTATTCATTTACTGCTCAGTAAAACCACATAAAGTAAGCAGCGGCATCATCTCCATTTCACAAGAAAGAAAAAAAAGCACGGAGAGGATAAATAACTTGACATGATCATTAAGCTAGTAAAGCAGTTGGCTCCAGGTCCATGTTCTTCGCTACTCACTATTCTGCCTCTCTACAGAAATATATGTGAAGAACCATTAAAGAACTTCTACCCTGTTACCAGAAGTACAAACACTGTTCTTAGTTGCTACCCAGTAGTGATCAGACAATGTCAGATATAAGGAATTTCTAAACCACTGATAAATTTACACATCTAGTACGTAAATACACCTTTTAAAAAATTTTAAAACAACTGATTTCTACATTTTTTTGATTTCTACATTTTAAAACTAACATAATAACTACCAATCGTTCAATCAAAAAGAAATATAAAGCCACAAACTCTAGTCTATTTTATATAGGTTTGAGAGGACTTGAAAATGAGATATTTAGTAAATCGAGTATAGAAAAGCATACATTTCTTTCAGCCATGGATTCCATCCATACATACCAATCACATATCATTGGAGTTATCTTTTTTAACATAAAATACTAAACACTTCAACAGGAAGGTAAGAGTGATCCATATTTCTGTATAAAATGCTGAAAATATTTGCAGAAAATAAATTTTCTCCTAAACATTTGCTGGATTGGAATACTGTTTAATATTTTTGTTTGTTTGGGGGGGATGACTAACAATAGCACAGTGGCTGACTTGGCCGACCCAGGTTCGATTCCTCTGCCCCTCTCAGAGAGCCCAGCAAGCTACCAAGAGTATCTTGCCCCGCACGGCAAAACTTGGCAAGTTCCCCTTGACGTATTTGATATGCCAAACACAGTAACAACAAGTCTTACAATGTAGACGCTACTGGGCTGCTACTGCTCGAGCAAATCGATGAACAACGGGAAGACCGTGCTACGGACTGAATAACAATATTTTTTGTCTGGCTGTGCTGAGGGCTTACTCCTGACTCTGCACTGAGGAATTACTCCTGGCAGCGCTTGGGGGATCGAACCCTGGTAGCCCACACATAAGGCAAGTGCCCAACCCACTTGTACTATCTCTCTCACACTTACTTTCTTACTGATGTCTATGAAAACCTTAGTTTTGATATAAAAAAATGGGATTTTTGTATGTTTGTTTTAATAAAGTAAAAAATGTATTATGTATTTGTTTTATTTTAGTGTCCTACACATAGTATTCTTGTGTCTTTAATAAAAGAAATGTAAGTAGTTAACGTATTACTATAAACAATTTTGAAAGAAATATTAACTATATTAATTATTCCACTTAAATTTAACCTCCACATGTATTTTTGCACATGTGAGGCTTTAGATGTATATATAATTTCTAGCAATACTGTTTCATGTGTGCCAGGCCTGGGTTGGAAGAAGGCATATCATAGTAGATGCACCCTTCTACCCTTTTCTGTATCTTAAATTTTAGAGAATGGGAATACAGGGGCCAGAGAGAAGAGCACAGCAGGGAAGGAATTCCTTTGCATGCAGCTGACCCAGGTTTGATCCCCAGCATCTGATATGGTCCCCTGAGCACTGCCAGGAGTAATTCCTGAGTGTAAAGCCAGGAGTAATCCCTGAGCATTGCATGAAGCAACCCAAAATCAAGAATCAAAAACAAACCAAAAAAAAGAATGGGGATATCTTATCTAGTAAAAAAGAATGGGGATATCTTATCTAGTAAGTAGATTTAATAGAAAAAAAATTTCTATTTAGTTTAAAAAATGCGGTTTTTGTTTACTTTTTTTTTGGGGGGGGGACACCCAGCGATGCACAGGGGTTACTCCTGGCTCTGCACTTCAGGAGTTACTCCTGGCGGTGCTCAGGGGACCATACGGGATGCTGAGAATCGAACCCGGGTCAGCCACGTGTAAGGCAAATGCCCTACCCGCTATGCTATCTCTCCAGTCCCTCTATTTACTTTTAAAAATGCAAATTCCGTATTATTATTGAAATTACTCTTATATAATACAAGCAATACCAGTATTTTTAAGCCTGACTTTTTTTTTCTTTTAACACAGAAACTGGACTTTCAATCTGTCTTAAGTAAAATCATTAGCAATTCAAATTGACCTATGATAGCACTCATCTATGACAGTCCTCATCTTTGACACAACCACTGTAGATAGAATAAAAATATAAATGAAATTTTAAATATGGCACAACTATAGAAATACCTATTATTCTCTTTAAGTATCCATGTACTGCTTTCATGATCAACAGATGAATAGAGGTTTCCATCCAAAATCCCCTGACCTTTCACTACAATGTCAATGTGATCAGGCAGAAATTGTACATGAATATCCTCCTTAGTACTGTCTCCCGGAAGTGGCATTGTTACTGTCAGATCATCTTCGGTCTGTTGCCAGTAATACAAAGGTTCTATTGAGAAAAAAAGAAAAGCATTTAATAAGAATTTTAAGGACAGAAAATAAACTAACAACATGCTCAAAAGAACAGACTTTATTCAAAAAAAGATCTAATGAGTCTGGGGAAAATACAGCAGGTAGAGCTAGAGCACCTGCCTTGTACATGACCAACCCAAGCTGATTCTTCTGGCACCACTCTGGGTCCCCTGAGCCCCAGCAGGACTGACACCTGAGCACAGAGCCAGGAGTAAGCCCCGAGCACAGCTAGGAGTGCCCCCCTCCCTTGCAAAAAAATTTTTCTTTAAAGGGACCTTAGACATAAATATGACAAGAGCCATATACTTTTATAAGAGTAGGGAAAATGTTTTTTCAAATATTTATTTTACGCAATTTTCAAACAATTCTCAAAAATTATTTTTAGAAAGTAATAAATATGTAAAACTAGAAACTATTTTAAATAGGTTGAGTTAAAAAAAGGCAATGTGTGTAACTGCTAAATGTTATTAAAAGTTCTTCAAAGAAAATAAAGTAGTTCCTGGTTATTAAAAATAAGAACAGGGCTGGAGCCATAGTATAGTTGGTGGGGTGCTTGCCTTGCACACAGCTGACTTCAGTTAGATCCCTGACACCCTATATGGTCTCCCAAGGCTGCTACAAATGATCTCTGAGTACAGCAGTCAAGTGTGACCCCCCAAAAACAAAACAAAGCAAAAACAAATACAAACAGCCATAAACAATGATAACAGGTATGCTCCCTTAAATATTTTTAAAATATATTTATTCTGCATAGTCATGAAATTTACATACAAGTGGGACTACATGGAAAATATCATGCTAAGTAAAATGAGTCAGAAAGAGAGGGACAGACATAGAAAGATTGCATTCATCTGGGGAACATAAAGTAACAAAATAGGAGACAAACACCTAAGAATAGCCGAGATTAGTACCAGGAATTTTGCTCCATGGCTTGGAGGCCAGCCACACATGTTAGGGGAAAAGGGAGCTCAGATAGAGAAAGGAAGACCAAATAAAGGTGTTGGGAGGATCCTCCCAGGATGGGAGAAGCATGCGGAAAGTAGACTATAGACCAAACATGATTGTCACCCATTGCCTCTTTTGCAAACCACAACACCCAATAAGAGAGAGAGAGAACAAAAGGGAATGCCCTGCCACAGAGGCAGGGTGGGATGTGGGGGATGGGGGGTGGGAGGGAATACTGGGATCTGTGGTGGTGGGAAATGGGCACTGGTGGAGGGATGGGTATTTGATCATTGTATAACTGAAATCCAAGCACAAAAATCTCTAAGTCTACAACTGTACCTCATGGTGTTTCACTAATAAAAAATTTTAAAACTTAAATTAAAAAAATAAAAAAAATTCATTCTGTATAAACTGCTAAGTTCTTTTTCATACTAAAATATTATCATTCATTCATTAATTTATTCATTCAAAGAAAGTGATTATGCATACATGGAAATTTCTTCGGGTTAAATACAACAGTTATGAATATTAGAATACCTTGTAAAGAAATGCTTTTGGCTTATTTTAAAAGGTTAATATCTTTAACATATTTGCTACTATCTGCAACAAGTCTCACAATGGAGATGTTACTGGGTCCGCTCGAGCAACTCGCTCGAGCAGTACCTTTAATATTGGCATTAAAGATATTAAATAAAATATGAAACATGCTGGCATCTCGAGTATCAACAACAGTATCCATTCAAGAAATTTCTATTAACATCTACTCAAGTGAGCTAACATGTAGTTTTAAAATGTATTTTGTGTAATATATAATTTTTGACATAAGCACTATCTTTTACAAAAGACTATTTTTGGAAATGTAAAGAAAAAACTAAGCACCTACTGAACTGGTAATACCTGTAATTGTCTGAAAAGTCAAACGAAACATAAATATAACTTTTTATTTTTTGCAGGGGGTGATAAAGGGGCAGGGGTTGTAGGCCACACCTGGCGGAGTGCAGGGCTTCCCCGACTCTGAGCTCCATGTAAGGTGCTAGGGAATTTCTGTGTTAAATACACATACATTGGGCTGGAGCAATAATACAGCAGGTAGGGCTTTTGCCTTGCACGCGGCCAACCCGGGTTTGATTCCCAGTATCCCATATGGTCCCCCAAGCACCGCCAGGAGTAATTTCTGAGTGCATGAGCCAGGAGTAATGCCTGTGCATCGCCGTGTGTGACCCAAAAAGCAAACAAACAAAGACACAAACAAATACATATACATTATGAAAACTGAAAGTAAAATCACCTTTGATTTTCTCTGACATGATTTCATCCTTATTTTCTTCAAGATCTTTGCCAACAAACGTGAAGGCCTTATAGGAGACAATCATGAGGCCATTCCCGTCAGTCTCGATGGCGGCATAATGAGGAACTGACTTGCCACGGAGAAGGTCGCGCCTCACAATGTCATATTTGTTACTATCTGCAAGAAAATATTTTAGAACAAATGTCAGAGATAGTGAGAGCACGAGAGAGGGAGAGAGAGAGAGGAGAGAAAGAGATTAGAGCCTCCATAGAGTCAGGTTGTGGGGTGGTGGGGTGGTGGGTGATGGGAGGGAATCTGAGACCTGGGAACCCTGGTGCTGGGAAATGTACACTGGAGGAGGGATGGGTGTTGGAACACTATGACTGAAACCTAATTTGAACAGCTTTGTAAGGGTCTACCTCACAGTGATTCAATAAAAAAAGTAATTTTTTTTAAAAAAAAGTAAAAGAAGAACATTAGAGAATGATTGTTTTTTCATAAAAAAATCATAGATAAAAAAATATACCATAAAATATTTTGAAGATACTTTTATACAAATACAACTAAAAAGGAACATTATTATAAACCTTTTCACAGTAATAAAAAAAAGTTTACAAGCCTACTTTTCTGTGAAAGTCCTTATTGTACAATTCTGGGTCTGACCAAGTTTGCTCTGGATTACACTGTCCGATGTGGCTGGCCATCCTGTGGCAATTATTTTTGTCAATCATGAGATTCAGTGCTTAAGTTCGACAGCCACATGTCAAAGGCACACTAGTCACACTTCAAGCACTGAAGAGGCACACATTGGTATTTGTGACCACACTGATGGACACATCTATGGGCCTTGTCCCTCTTGAACAATTTCTGCTACAAGATCTAGCAGTTCTCTAGACCTTTAATGGATTTGCCTGAAATCCCCTTTTTCTGGAGGATTGACCTTTTCCTGAACTGCTTGTCAGCAGGTAGAGGGCAGAAATCTTTTGAAAAGAGTCACAAACTGAAGATAAAACAGCAGGGTATGGGCCAGTTTTCTGTGAACTTTCTCTGACATAACTTCCTTCCAACCTTGTTTTCTTCCTGTGATTTGGAAAACCACAACCTTCCGGTTGGCCCCAATCAAGCTACCTGAGCCCCTTTCTGAACACTGCGAGGATCCACAGAACCATATAGTGAGAAGCACTGGGATAGATTATGTCTTAGCTACTATAGTGAGTGTCCTTAAGATGTGTCTGATTGAGATTATTTTTATATACAAATATACTGCTACATTATTATTTCTCATAAATTAAGTGAATTTATTTCACTATAAAAATGGGTTATTTTTTTAAAAAGTATTCAAGTATTCCAACTGAATCACTATCTTTATTTACACAGCTACTCTATTAATGTGAGTTATTTGTAATTTTCACTGTAGCACTGTCCCGTCCTCCCTTTGTTCATCGATTTCCTCGAGCGGGCACCAGTTACATCTCCACTGTTAGACTTGATGTTACTGTTTTTGGCATACTGAATATGTCACGGGTAGCTTGCCAGGCTCTGCCATGCAGGCGGGATACTCTCCGTAGCTTGCCAGGCTCTTCAAGAAGGACAGAGGAATCAAACCTGGGTCAGCTATGTGCAAGGCAAATGTCCTACCTGCTGTGCTATTGCTCCAGCCTGTAATTTTCACAGTAGACAAAAATACACTCAATATCGTGAGTTATATATAAGAGTACATCTAAAATATCACTATATTCTAAATCCTCACATCCTACAGTCACATGTTAATTTCATTTATATTTAAGGAGAGATTTCTTCGAACAAACTCTTATTTATCCCTTATCAGCTAAGTACACGATAAAATGTTCTAACTGCCTCAAAAGACTCAAATTTAGACACTACTTTAGAGGATGGCTTTCCTAACATATGCAGAAAACACACACACACACACACACACACACACACACACAACCTGGAAGATCTCAAATAAATCCTATAAAGTTAGTAAGTGCTCAATTAAAATTGAACTTTTCTTCTAAAATTCAAAAAAAATTTCAATATCCTTAACATGCTGAACAATTCTTCTCCAATGTCAAAAACGGCATGATGAGATTGGTGCCTTCTTGTCTCTGTCAGACCAATGATGTCGTACTTGATCTTTTGCGCTAGTAACATCAGGTCCTCGATGGATGCATCTGATGTTAGCGTACGTGCATTTAAAGTACAGATGATCATTTTTGTCTTCCTGCGTTGTGGCAGCCTAGTTAGGCCTTGAGATTTTATTGGCCTCTCCTTTCTCATCCTTCTCAAGCTGCCATAATGGTGACGCCTTCAGGGTCAGGGGAATGAGACCCATTGTAATTACTGGTTTTGGCATATCGAATACACAACGGATAGCTTGCGAGGCTCTGCTGTGAGGGCGGAATACTCTCGGTAGCTTGCCAGGCTCTCTGAGAGGGATGGTGATACCATTTCACCGAAACTCTTCAGTGCCACCTTCGAGAACATCATGCGACAACTGGAATGGGAAGGAATGGGAGCGAAGATAGATGGTCGGCAACCACACCACCTCCGCTTTGCTGATGACATTGTTTTAATAACACCAAACATCAGCCAAGCGGCACAAATGCTGGCCGACTTTGACCGTGAGTGTGGAAAGGCAGGACTACAGCTGAATTTTACAAAGACAATGTTTATGAGAAACAGCCTCGTTCCTGACGCCCCATTAGCTCTCAACAGAACGACCATCTCCGAATGCAACAGCTATATGTACCTAGGTCGAGAAGTCAACATGACAAATGACCTGGCACCTGAGCTGCGCAGGAGGAAGAGAGCGGCTTGGAATGCCTTCAAGAGCATTGAAGAAATAGCTAAGAGGACGAAGAACCTCCGGCTCCGGGCACATCTCTTTGATTCCACTATTCTTCCTGCATTAATATACGCCTCAGAGACCTGGGCCATATGCAAACAGGATGAGAATGCTATACGGATCTCTCAAAGAGGAATTGAAAGAGCTATGCTTGGAGTATCACGTTTCACTCAAATGAGAGAAAAAATCCGGAGTTCTGATCTCCATCGAAGATCAAGAATCAGGGACGCTGTCTCGTTTGCCAAGGTGTCAAAACTCAGATGGCCTGGTCACGTAATGAGATTTAGAGACAACCACTGGACTAGAACCGTTACCGACTGGATCCCACGGGATGTCAAAAGACCGTGTGGCTACCCACCTACCAGGTGGTCCGACTTCTTCATCAAGATCATGAATGATCAGTTTGAGGCTCTTCGTGTTCCCAGAGCGAACAGATGCCATTGGGCTACACTAGCACGCGACAGGGACAAATGGAGACGTTACTGGCGCCCGCTCGAGCAAATCAACGATTAACGGGAAGTCAAGTGATCAAGCGATCCTTAACATGTACTGGAGATATTTTTCAACTTATATAAACACAAAATATAAATTTAACATTCTACTCAATACACCTGCAGGTCAAGCTACAGCTGTCTCAGACCCAAACATCTTGTAGAAAGAGGAGGAGCATGTATGACGGTGCCTCCTTAAAAATGTTGAGTTAGGCATCTTAAAAAACTTAAATCTACAAATAGAACTTCAAAAAAAAAAAAACAAAACTTAAAGCTGCTTTTATTATCTAAAGAAGGAATCCGCAAAGTACAATCTATGCCTTATTTTTATATAGGCATATATAAAATTATATTATTTTTATTTAAAATAATATATATATATATATATATATTGCTCTGAGAGCAAGAGCAAACTGTATATTTATTTAATTAACTCAATTAGGTTTTGGTGCCTCACCTGGTAGTACTCAGGGCTAATTCCTGGCTCTGGGCTTGGAGGTATAGGGCATAGGATGCTGGGGACTGAACCCAGATGGGCCATGTGCACGGGAAATGCCCTGTGTATTGCACTATCACTCTGGTCCCTAAATTTTGTATTTTATATGGTTAAAAATGCATTTGAAATACATGTTTAAATTTCTATTTCAGCACCCATTGATTTTACTGAAACATATATTGTCAACATCTAGCCCCAACACCCAACATCTGACCAGAAGTTTTTTACTTCCTGTGTTCCTCTTGATGAAACTACACAGGCAAGAATACATTGAACATTTTAAAGAACAAAGTTTATTTTCTGGAAAAATATTCAATTTCTCCCCCCGTCTGCCCCCCTCCCCTGCCCAGGCCATACCAAGTGGTACTAAGGGCTTACTCCTAGTTCTGTGTTCAGGGATCACTCCTGATGGGGCACAGGGGTTCAAACCAGTGTTGGCCAAGTACAAGGCAAGGGCTCTGCCCACTGTACTATCTATCCAGTCCCTTAACCTATTGATTAATTATTCTGATTGTGCACATGTGCACTTTACATGTGAGCAAGTGCAGGCAGAGTCAAATACAGCCTATATAGAGGTCAGAGAGGTCAGAGAGGGTGATTGAAAGGATACTCATTTTCAAGCAAATATGAAAGCCTCTTTAAGAAACCAGTGTTAATATCTCAGACTGCAAACTAGCAGGTATAATAAAGAAATGGTTTTCTGTGGAGCTCAGGGATAATTTAAGACTGATAAGTTAATTAAGCTCATAAGAGCTAGCAAGAAAAATAAAGGGTCATCATGGAAACAAGCTTAGTTCTCAAATGCAATAAAAAGAAGTTGGTGAGTCATTAAACACTAAGCTCTGGCAAGGTCTGTCCTCCCGCTGTTTATTTGCTCGATTTGCTCGAGCGGGCCCAGTAATGTCTCCATTTTGGGACTTGTTGGTACTGTGTTTGGTATATGGAATAGTCTCGGTAGCTTGCCGGGCTCACCAAAAGGGGCAGAGGAATCAAACCTGGCTCGGTCAGGCTGGCTGCGTGCAAGGCAAAAGCCCTACCACTGTGCTATCGCTCCAGCCTGGTAAGATCCTCATACAAAGAAAAAAGATTTTTTTTTTTGAATTTTATACCTTTTATTCAATAATTCTAATACTGAAGATATATTCTACATATATGATTCAAAATAAGAACAGAGCATAGGGTGCTTAAGTAGGGTTGAATTAATACAATCTTTGCACAGATTACTTTAAATGGAACTATATACAGAAACTCCAAATCTGAAAACATTAGGCAGACAGATTTTGGAAAGGAATCATTTCTTGGGGAAAAACAAATACAACCAAAAGTATCACAGAATAAGTAGATTTTTGTCTGAAGACAAGTCACAGTCAATGCTATGTGGAGTGACCAAGACAGAGATTATCTTGCTGTCCTTCTCATCACAGAGCACTGGTTCAGGGCAATCCAGGTGCTGGAGAGGGGGTGGTGGACTCTCAGAGGAAAGAGAATCAGAGAGGACAGGTTCAGCAATTTCTCTCTACTCTGACTGAATCCCTGGTTGACTTTTGGACCAGCTACACATTAGACTTTAGTTTTGAGCCAAAAATTTAATATATGAGTGACCATCTAAAAAAGAAGAGTTTCTAGTTCAAATACAGTCAAATCTGATTAGACTATTTTTAAAGAAAATAAAATCTGGGAAAAAGAGACTTTTAAAGTCCAAGTTGGAAGGGTGACAGTTTCAACTGGACCAAGAGCTAAGACTTCCAGGCTTATAGCTGATAGTTTTACTAAGGGCAGAAACAAATAGCAAAGCTCAGTCTGATTTAAGACATATCACAGTTGGGATGTACGGAAATAAAGGTATTTGTTTCCATCTTGGTTGTGTAATTTATCCTTCAGTTATAATAACTGAGACCACTCTCCACATGCTTGGATGAGGAACTGGCAGAGGAACCCAGGTGTGCGGGACCCGGGGCTGAGATCTCCAAGCCTGCTCGGATTGGGACTGGGCCTCCTCCACCCAGCTCCCCCACTTCCAGTCGCTAGACAGTTACACCCACCAACTGCCATGTAACCCCATCAATGGCCATCCAGAGACTCTAAAACCAAGCTCCTGGAAGTGCGTGGCCACGTTTGTGGCCGTGCGACCTCTTATTCTCTAGTTCTCACTCTCAGAGAACCCGGCAGGCTACTGAGAGTATCATACCCGCCTATATGCCTGACTAGGAACACCTGTAATGGTGATTAGAGGCTGCCCCCAAAGCCTCCATCCTCGGAGAGCCCGGTAAGCTACTGAGAGTATCCCGCCTGCACAGCAAAGCTTGACAAGCTACCCGTGGAGTACTCGATATGTCAAAAACAGTAACAATGAATGGTCCTCATTCCCCTGACCCTGAAGGAGTCTCCAATATGTCATCGGGCTACACTTGCATGTGACAGGGACAAATGGAGACGTTATTGGGCCCGCTCGAGTGATTTGAAGAACAACGGGGTGATAGTGATGTTATAATACATAATTTGTATTATATGTATGTGCACACATGAACATCTACATTTGGAAGAAAATACCTATTTTAAATATTAAAATATGTACTTTATATTCTTTAAAAAATTAGAGAAACCACCTTCTATACAAAAGTCTGACTACAGAAGATAATTAATCCCTTTCAATAATCTATACCTCACAAGAAATTAGCTATGCATACCCATGCCACTGGGAAACAGGTTCTAGAATCCTAACATTAAACCATTCTCCTATACACAAGAAAAGGAAAGAGTATTTACAAAGAGTTCTCTTGTTTTACCTTTATTTTTCTGACTGATAGTGACCCACTCCAAGGAAACGTAGAAACCACTTCCTTTCATATCCAGTTCCTCCCTCTCGATGCGAAGAAGAAGGGTGGCTATTGAATGCTCTCCAGCTTTCAGCAATGAGATACTGTGAATTATGATAAAAGGTTCCCCAAGCTCTTCATTAAACATAATCTACAAAAAAGAAACAACAGACTCACAACAGTATATATGACATAAATGCAGATAAAAATGACACATAAAATTATGATAATCCAAAAATGTGGATACTATTTACTAAAAAGGTAAAGGTAAAGGCCCTCCCGTTGATCGTCGATTTGCTCGAGCGGGCCTAGTAACGTCTCCATTGGAGACTTTGTTGTTACTGTGTCTGGCATATCGAATACTCTCGGTAGCTTGCCGGGCTCTCCGAGAGGGGCGGAGGAATCGAACTCGGGTCGGCCATGTTGGCCGCTTGTAAGGCGAACGCCCTACCCGCTGTGCAATTGAAATTCTCTAACCATAACACCATGATGCCATGTGACCTGAAGTATAATAATGATTTTTCAAATGCTCATCTCTAAAGGAAAAAGCCTTTAAAGGGTACAGGCTTAAATACCAGTTCCTGAAAAAAATAACCAAAAATATCTATTTGTTTGAGAGAAAACTGGTCAATATTATCGGCTTAAAAACAAAGAAAACAGGATATCAAACAGCCCCTAAAATAAAAAACTAAAATGTCCAATTTCATAGAAAAAAACTACCAAGTGAAGAATGGACTATAAAAAAACAGGCCATGAGCAGATCAATATTCATTCTCCCTTCTTTTCATCTGTCTCATTTGATGCATTTTTGCTTTCTTCATCTAGTTTGTGGATATTCTACACAAGCGCAAGTGTATGCATACAAATGTGTGTGTGTGCATGTGTGTGCGCGCGCGCGTTTACATACTCATCTGCTTTTTCCCTCCGGCTGTTTTTAATTTCTTTCTCAGTTTTCCGCAAGTTTACAAAGGCAAAAGTCAAAGAACTAGAAAACAGATCAGTATTTTATTCTCAAAAACAAAGTCTTTTTCTGATATTTAATTTATTTGGGGGCCACGCACAGCAGTGCTCTGGGGCTACTGCTGGCTCAGTGCTCAGGGTACTATGCTGTGCTGGGGACAGAATCTGGACTCCAGCTTGCAAATTATTTGCTTCAGCAAATCTAACTATCCCTCTGAGCTGTGTTATTAGCACATTTTAAGATAAAATTCAACCTATTTAATAACGAAGCTTTTTTGTTGGTCTGTCTTGAGGCCATGCCCAGCAGTGTACTCCATGACAACTCGTGACTCTATGCTTGGGGCTTAGTGCTCAAAGTACCATGTGGTGCCAAGGAACAAACCGAACCGGAGCATACTTAATGCAAGGCATGAGCGTACTTAATGCAAGGCATGCCTTCAAGCCCACTGAATTGAATGCTCTCGCTCTAATCCATAAAGTTGCTTTTTAAAAAGCAATCTAATGGCTTCTTTTGCAATACGCAGTTAGTCTTGGTTGCTCAGGCTTCCTTTAACTTTCTTTTTTCCTCCAATGCAATTAAAGGTGAAGGGCAAGCAGAAAAGAGGGTTTTGCTAATTTTGATACTCGTAGCAGCGCTGCTGCAGGATAGCCTTTGCATTGCACATCATAGATTAGTATATGAAGATGTGAATAGCTCTACCCCGAACCTCTGCAGTGGTGCAATCAGGGTTGCTAGTCTGTTACAGCTGGATGGGGATTAGAAATTTGGAAAATATATCAATTAGCTTTGACAGTTTCATGTTCCAAAACAATGCAGCAAAAACTAGTTATTATATCTCAAGAGCTAAAGGGTCAACAGGATGGCTGTGCTGATCTAGACTGGGGTCTGTCATGCATCCATAGTTAGTCTGGTGAGTCTAGGAGACCTTACAGGGACAGTTTATCTGTCACCCCTTTGCCTGTCACATCCCTTTACTAGGTTTGCTTAGGTTTGTTCTCATATTAATGGTAATTAAAATGCAAATGATTTTTCAAGCTTTACTTAATTCAGTCAACTGCTTTTTCATTGTGTAAAGAAAATCATAGTGCCAACTCCAGAGCCAATGTAAAAAGACACCATAAAAGGATACAGGAAGGTGAAAAACATGAAATCACTTCAACCAACCCAAATGCGTTAGTTTGAAGCCAAAAAAAGTTCAGAGTATCATGACTGCCAATGATTTTTTCAAGTGTATGATATTTTACAATGGTATTTGTATATTTTGTTTGCTATAATCCCACTTGTTTACTTTTGATTTTGTTTTCTTTGCTGATGGTGTAAAATCATTGAAGACAACTCTCAGGTTCGTATCCTGGAGAGTTCCATGTGTGTTTTATTCAATATGTTTACAGATTCTGGTATGATTTCATTTTATTCATCTATCAATATTAATAAGGGAACTCCCAAAAAAAAAAAAGCAATCTAAGCATCACGGTCACAGTCTTCCCGTTATTCATCGATTTGCTCGAGTGGGCCCAGTAATGTCTCCAATCGTGAGATTTGTTACTGTGTTCGGCATATTGAATACGTTATGGGCAGCTTGCCAAGCTTTGCCTCGCAGGCGAGATACTCTCGGTAGCTTGCCAGGCTCTCCGAGAGGGGCGGAGGAATCAAACCCGGATCGGCTGGGCTGTCTGCGCACAAGGCAAATGCCCTACCACTATGCTATTGCTCCAGCCCGTCTAAGCATCAAACACATAAAAATCTTTAAAACAATGTTCATACCATAAAAACACAATCCAAAATAGTCTTATATTTTATTAAGTACAAAACAGAGGCATTTTAAGACTGATTTCTTTCTTTTCTTTATGGGGGTGGCAATGGTTCAGGCCATATTCAGTAATGAAAGCAATAGTTTTAAAAACAGAATTAACTGAAAAATAAACCAAACTGACTAAAGAATAAAAATCCGTTATAAAAAAACAAAACAAAACAAAAAAAACAACCTTGATCTGGAATCACATCCTATTACTTGAAAATTTATTAATTAAAGGGCAGGGAGCTAGCACAGCAGGGTAGGGCACTCACCCTGCATGTGGCCAACCCAGTTTGATTCCCAGAATCCCACAGGGTCCCCAGAGCCCTCCAGGAGTGGTCCCTGAGTACAGAGGCAGGGGTAAGCCCTTCGCATCACTGGGTAAGACCCCAATACACACAAATTTAGAAATGGCAAGTATCTCTGGGGAGAGAGAGGTTGTAGCCATATTCAGCAGTGCTCAGAACTACTACTGGCTCTGTGCTGGGGGATCACTCCTGTTGGTGCAGGGAGAAGTCTGCAGCCTGTCACACATGCCTAGCAGCTCCCTTGTGGCACTGCTGATATGCACCACCAGCATCATGTTGAGAGGCTGTGCTCTGGGACAGCAGGCAGTCTTCTTTCTTCTCTTTCCAGCACTTCACACATCAGGCCCGGGTCTGATACCTGCGCTGCCAAGAAGCCATTGAGCACCACGGTGGGAGTAGCCCTGAGCACCCTGAGCACCATCAAACCTTCCCCTGCCCCTCTACCAAAACCAGAATTAGATGGAAAACACGCGAGAGGGCACTTCTTATTTCATTCCTGGAGAGTATATAGAAGGGAGCCCTCAATAAAACACCAAGATGCCTCAAAGAACCAGACCAAAAATGTTTGTATTTCCGAAAAGGGCTATGAAACTGTTCTGGCCTCATTGATGCACACCACACCTGCCAATCAGCTTGCGTTATAGACTGTGCCCTCACCTCCCATTTCTCGGAAGCGCTGTTTCCACGTTCACCAGTCCCGATGAGGTAGAGTCGCCCAGTGCCGTCGGACAAGGTGACCCAGGTCGGGGACGTGAAATGGACAGAGGCACTCAGGCGATTGTCGTAGGCCGTGAGATCCGTGGGAAGTCGAAACACCTCTCGCGGCTTTCCCAAGGCGGTGTCCTGAAAGAAGGGCACACGTTAGAGAGGAACCCTGACCTCCTGAGAGGCCGGCACCCAGAATAACGGTGGGCAGTGCCACACATGCCTTCCTTGACAAGAAAAGGTGCTCTGGGCTCTGGGTATGAGTGGGCCACTGAACCACTCCCAGCACGGCAGAAGAGGTGGCATAGAACATTCTGAACAAGGTCACAAAAGGTCACAAGTTCTCTTCGTTAGCTTTTGGCCTGCTCGTGGTGGACCCACAGGAGGAGAAACCTTCATGCCAATAACTAGGGTCCCAGGAGGGAATCATTTTGTGACTCTATCCCTCTGATCACTGCGGTCCTGGCTGGCAGCTTGGCAACATCTCAGGAGAAAGCTTAGATAAAAGTGCCCAGTGCAGCACTCTCTGATGCCCGCCCCTACACAACCCTGGGAGGCGACATCTGTCGTTCCAAGAAACCTGGTTTTGAAGGAAATTGTTATTTAGCAACAGACAATTAGTAGTAGTAATGTAATCTACATCCTTCTCTTGCAGTTCAAGTCAATGGCTAATATTTTTAAATTGGAAAAAACCATGGCACGTTCCAAATCAGCCAGAGATATGAAAATACTACATTCAGACTATTAAGAATGTACATTTTGCTAATACAGGTTTAAAAAAATTATTTTTTAAATATCCCTGGGACTTCCAAAGTTGCAAAGTTACTTGAGTTTCAGGCACATACGATGTTCCAAGACTCATGCAGTCACCAGCTCCCCCAGTTTCCCTCCGTGCTGCCTCCAGCCTGCCTCTAAGAGAGACACTTTCAGCTTGTCCCTCCAGAAACCAGTTTGCCTCCTCTGGGCAAATGTTATTCCCCTGCTATGTTTCTTTCCATCTCACACAGAGAGAAATCAGGCAATGTGTGCCTCCCTTGTGCTATTGTATCTCTGTCCTTACATTTTTAAGCTATAAAAATGGACTGCATGATTAAGTGTTACATAAGGAAATGTTTAAAAGGTCTGTACTCATATTTTACTGGTTTATATAATTTTGAATTAAAAGACAAACATGAAATGACAAATACAGCTGGCAGAACATTTATAAAATGATTAGTGACACAAAACTCATTAGCAAAAATAGAATTTTATCCACATAGTAATGACTAGCTTACCAGCAATACACATTAAGCTTACCATGGGTTTCAGTTGGTATACCATACACAAGGAATATAGGATGTGAGTTAACCTAAGCAATTATGTAAATACTAATGAATGAAATTTTTCTGGAGGCTGATATATATGTAGGAATTTAAGAAAGGACATGGAATTATCAATTAGTGTAAAATAAATGTGCTAATTAACAAATGCTATGGGATACAAGGCCTTTTGGAAAAAAATCAATCTCTCACACCACACACAAAAGCATTATCCAATAGATCTATTATCTATATATTTTAATGGAAATATAAGATAATTTAGAAGATTAATAAAGTTTTAATAATATTAGGAATAAGCGCATTTCTAAGCAAATGAAAGATACCAGGTCACAGGAGAAATATATTATTTCTCCACAAATTTATTTCTGCCATGAATATAAAGTAGGACTATTATCATGACATATAAAGATCCCTTAAAACTTAAGAACATAATATGCAAAATAAGAAAACTGCAGTTTAAAAAAAGAAAGACTGAAATGTTTAAGCTCAAAAATACATGGATTAACATGAGGTAGAGTTATCAGACAAAAATCTAAAATGTAAGTCTATTTTTGGCTAAAATGCCCTGTTGGTATTGGTAGAAATAAATATTGGAGATCAATATAAATCAACTGATTACAAACCAAATTCTATGATGCCTTAAATGTCATTTGATAGGACCCAGTTCAAGGAACTTATAGTATCTGAATATGTACACAAATGTCCATGCAACAGGAATGTTCATGTCAAAAAAACATGAAAACCTGTGCCAATAAAAACCAGGAAACAACCTAGCTATTTATCAGTAGCAAGTAAGAAAAAGACCCCTGAGAAGTAGAGCCAGCTAGCCAGCAGCCGTGAGTATTAAGGTTTGCTACGAGCTTTGTTCTGTTGGTGTGCATGAAGCATCCCACTGAGCATAAAATCACACACAGGATCACAGTGTGAGCAGTGGAACAGTGATGGGCAAAAAGAAAAGGCAGCACTGTTCCCATGACACCTGACGCAGATGAACAGAAGCACTGCTAGAGCCACGAGCAGGACCCGAATGCAGGCCAGTGTGAGGGCATACTGTCTCCTGTGCTAATTAAAGTCCCAGTTGAGTCCCTGGAACTCTACCATACCTGAGTAGTGCCCAATTCAGAGCAAACCAAGCCTCACTTCCCTAAAACTTGCCTCAAAGGAACCTAAATCCAAGGTAATCCTGTAAATCCGCTCAAATATCCTCTCACTAAGTCACTCTGGTTCCCCAGGATGTGCATTCTTCACCTACAAAATGGAGTAAATCCAACTGAATTCGCAGTTGTAATATATACTTAGCATCTTTGTCAGAAGAGCATTAGCAGAGGAATGGCTATCTATTAAAAGTCTATCCTCTGAATACCAAGTAACTTAATGCATGGATGCAGACTTTTTATAAAAACCTAACATTAAAAAGATATCCAGAAGGGCCAGAAAGTACATTGGGTAGGGCGCTTGCTTGCCCTCGGCCAACCTGGGTTCAATCCCCAGCATCCTATATGGTCCCCCAGCAGCACCAGGAGTGATTTTGAGTGCAGAGTCAGGAGTAACCCCTGAGTATCACCGGCTGTGGCTCCAAACCCAAACAATCGTACGTGGGGAGTGGGAGGGGGAGGAAATGAAAAGTATGCACTGCAGGAATTCACACGTGTTGAAAAAATTAAGTATGACAGAACAGAGTAGTAAGTATTGACACATATGGTGCTGGTCTGCTTATACAAGTCATGTAAAACAAGTAACAAGGTAAAGCAACAATGTATTAATCAGATAAAACAGAATGGGACCTCTCCCAAAAATACTTGTTTCAAAGTAAAGATTTCCTACTACGCCCTTCAGGATGAGCTAGAGAAGCATTATTAAGAAGTCAATACTCATCATTTCAAACACAACTGCAATGGTCATTTTCATCCAAGGTGATACATAACTGGGAATGCTACAAGTCTGGCAAATAATAAACCCAATAGCATATGGAATGATTAAGATATTCAAGTACACAAATGTGAAGCCAACATTTAATTAAAATACATTAAAGGGATAAAAAATATTTCTCTTAAGTGACATTTTTTTTTCTTTTTTTATTAGTGAAACACCATGAGGTACAGTTATAGGCTTACAAATTTTGTGCTTGGGTTTCAGTTATATAATGATCAAGTGCCCATCCCTCCACCAGTGCCCGTCATCCATCACCACGGGTCCCAGCATCCCCCCCACCCCCCATGCCTCCCGTCCCATCCTGCCTCTGTGGCAGGGTATTCCCCCTTGTTCTCTCTCTCTTATTTTGGGTACTGTGATTTGCAAGAGAGGCTTTGAGTGGCAATCATGTTTGGTCTATAGACTACTTTTAGCATGCTTCTCCCACCCTGGGAGGGTCCTCACAACACCCTTCATTTGGTGCTCTCTTCTCTATCTGAGCTTCTTTTCACCTAGAATATGTGGCTGGCCTTCCATTCATGGAGCAAAATTCCTGGTACTAATCTCAGCCATTCCTGGGTGTTAATCTCCCTTTGACATTTTAAAAGAAAATAGACTGAATGTTTCTGATTTTTAAAATCTAATTCTCAAAGAGTAAAGTAAAAAGTAAAGGCCCTCCCGTTGATCATGGATTTGCTCGAGCGGGCCCAGCAACGTCTCCATTGGAGACTTTGTTGTTACTGTGTTTGGCATATCGAATACGTCACAGGGAGCTTGCCAGGCTCTGCCGTGCGGGCGAGATACTCTCGGTAGCTTGCCGGGTTATTTTAATTTCTATTTCAATTTCTAATAGACTGTGCACAATGAAACTTGCTTCTGTAGATATTAAAATCATTAAACTGTTTCTGAATAACCTCCACTGACAGTCTTGCAAAGCACCCTGTAGTAAAGTTTTATGTAACTGGCATCTATAATATGCAAGACCTACATGATCATTTCCTTCTTCCATACAGAAAAGGTTAAAATACTATGTTCTAGGAACTAAAAATCATTCTGAGGTAACATTTTACAGCTAATTGTAAAAAAAATCAAAAACTTCATTGAAAATTACAGAAGTACTATAATGTGTTTGGCTGGAGTGATAGCGTAGGGTATTTGTCTTGCATGTGGCTGACCCAGGTTAGATTCCTCCGTCCCTCTCTAAGAGTCTGGCAAGCTACCGAGAGTATCCCACCAATACAGCAGTGCCTGGCAAGCTCCCCATGGCGTATTTGATATGCCAACAACAGTAACAACAAGTCTCACAATGGAGACTTTACTGGTGCCCGCTCGAGCAAATCGATGAACAGGACAGTGCTACAATGCTACTATAATGTGTAAGCACTGTGTAAGGTAAGTCCTTTTCTTTTTGCTGACTCATTTCATGATTATCAAAGCAATGAAGTTGATAATTTAACTCCTTATTATTATATTTATTCGATAGCACAGCGGTAGGGTGTTCACCTTACAAGCGGCCAACATGGCCGACCCGAGTTTGATTCCTCCGCCCCTCTCGGAGAGCCCGGCAAGCTACCGAGAGTATTCGATATGCCAGACACAGTAACAACAAAGTCTCCAATGGAGACGTTACTGGGCCCGCTCGAGCAAATCGACGATCAACGGGAGGGCCTTTACCTTTTTTATCTTTATTATCGTATTTCATACACAAAATTCATGTATTTGTCATTATTCAGGATAATGCTATTATTGTCTTTATTTTCTTTTTTGCTTTTTGGGTCACACCTGATGATGTTCAGGGACTACTCCTGGCTCTGCTCCCTGAAATTAGTTCTGGTGGTGCTTGAAGGTCTATGTGGGATGCCCAAGATGAAACCTGGGTGGGCCGCGTACAAGGCAAATGCCCTACCC